TCAGGATGATAAGTACAAAAATATTATAGGAACGATTTTTTGAAAATTTCATTGATACTTCAAAATAAACTATTCAAGTAGTCATCAAGGGGGAAAAAAGATCTTGATTTTGCTCCCTGTCATTGTTTCAGATGTTTGCTAGTGTTTGGTGTGTATATGTTGAATTATATTTAGGAGAAAGGGAGGTGTAGCAGAATTCTAGTGCCCAGAGCTTTGAAAGTCTATTATTTTTCTGCCCTGGAACTATTAAAGGCAATATAGAAGGCAAAGTTCTAGCTGCAGACTCAAAGGGTTATTGGGCCTTTCTGAGAACCCCTCTCTTTCTCTTTATTTCTGTGTCATAGTTGACATGAGTCTAGTTTGGCTTCAACTAGTATATTGGTTTGCATTGCTTGTTTAATTTCAGTAAATCTACAAGGCCAACACTTATTCATTAGTCAATCAAATTTGTATACAGAATGGCTCTGCCAATCACTTGAAAGAAAAGTGGTAAAACTAACTTTTTGGCTGGATCTGTGACCCCAAAGAGTGTGTCATATTGGTTACAGACCCTGCATCTTTGGTGTTCTGATGAATCACCATAAAAGTCACCAGGTAGTTCAAAGTATATAGATCAACAAAATGGTGTATTTGTCCAGGTGAACAAAACTTCTGTCATTGTCTTTTGCTAAGATAGCTCCTGCAGAAAATTCGAAAATTCTTCAACTGAGAACTAGAGTGTTTTCCCCTGTTAACTAAGTCATATTCTTTTTTCTTTTTTTTTTATTCTCACCCGAGGACATTTTTGCATGTATTGTTCAGGTAGAGTGGGAGGGAGAGAGAGGAAGAGAGAGAGAGAGAGAAACATCGACGTGAAAGAGACACATCGAGTGGCTGCCACCTACACGACCAACCAGGGCCAGGGACAAACTGCAATCAAGGTACATGCCCTTAGCTGGAACCGAACCTGGGTCTCTCTGGACCACAGGCTGACGCTCTAACCACTGAGCCAAACCAGCCAGGGCAGTCATATTCTAATTAAAGCAAATGTAGGGTACATCGGCATCATGGCTGTTGTAAAGAGGAAATACTAAGATGTGAGTGTGGGTGTGAAGAGAAGAGGTTTGATAAGCCTGTAACACACATCTTGTGGACTTCTCTACGCTGTCAGATTTTTTTTTTTAATATTTTTTCTTTATTGAGTTTAGAGAGAGAGGAAAAAAGAGAGAGATAGAAACACCAATGAGAGAGAACACTGATAGGCTGCCTCCTGCATGCCCCTACTGGGGATTGGACCCACAACCTGGGCATGTGCCCTGACTGGGAATCAAACCGGCCTGTTGGTGTATGGGCCAACGCTCAACTACTGAGCCACACCAGCCGGGTGCTCTGAGGTTCTTTTGTCATTCAACTATGTATGGGGATGCAAGGATTAAATAAGGCAAGCCCTTCTGTTAAGTGGTTTAAAACAACAAACATTATCTTATGAGATAACAGTAAGTACAAATATGAGATAATAGAGAACTAGGATAATATGAAAATTCAGAGCAGGTGAGCTATGTGATTCTGCCATGAGGTCCTCTTGGAGATGGCAGTTAACACCTTGGCTGGCCCGCAGTCCTCTGAAAACTTCACGGGGCTGGGGGGCTTCCAAGACGCTCACTCACACGCCTGTTTGATCTTTGCCAGCTGTTGGCATTGGGCTTCTCTCTGTCACTTGATACATGAGCAGCACCATAAGACTGATTGAGTATCTCTATGTCATGGCTGCTGATTTCTCCAAGAGCAAGTGATCCAAAACCGAGTTAGGGGGATGCTGCAAAACTTTTTATGGCCTAATATTGGGTATCTTGCACTATCACCTTGCCATATTCTGTTTGTTAACAATGAGTCATTACATTCAGCCCACATGTAAAACGAGGAGGATTTCTCATCTCATCCATCTTATATCTGACTGTGCTGTGTTGAAGATAGGAATATCGAAGGATTTGTACAAATATTTTAATACTACCAAAAAAATGTAACCTCTCCCCTTTCTGCTCTCTAGAGGAGGTTATGTAAGATTGGTATTATTTCTTCTTTAGTTGAGGGAAAATTCTACTGTTTTCTTTGAATAAAACATTTTAATAATATATTAAATTTCTTTAAGTGTTATAAGATTTTTTTGGGTTTTGTACTACTTTTTGCATAGGTTCGTTTAGAAATTTGTGTTTCTAGAGTATGTTTATTTTATTTAAAGTTAAGTGTTGAGTTATTTTTTAAATGTACATGTTTTTATTGATATTTTAGAGAGAGAGGAAGAGAGAGAGAGATAGAAACATCAATGTGAGAGAGAAATATCGATTGGCTGCTCCTACACACCCCCTACTGGGGCTCCAGCCTGCAGCCTGGGCATGTGCCCTGACCAGGAGTCAAACTGGGACCTCTCAGTCCATGGGAGGACACTCAGTCCCTGAACCACACCAGCTGGTCTGTATGGAGTTATTATAAAGGTTGATAATAGTGGCTGATTATAAAATCTCTTTAGTTTCTGTAAGAATTTAGCTATTAGTCTAATTTTTATTATTTTTTTGTGTGTTTGTTTTTTAATGTTTTCTTCTGTGAGAACATTAAAGTTCTATTCTCTTAGAAAATTTCAACTATGCAATACAGTGTTATCACCTTTAGTCACTATGTTCTACATTACATCCTCGAACCTTATCCATCTTATAACTGACGCTACCCTTTGCCCATTTAAAAGGGTTTTTTTTGTTGTTTTTTTTTGCTCTGTCTGGGTTATTTAACTTAGGATAATGCCCTCAGTTTCATTCATGTTGTTGCAAATTACAGGATTTCCTTTTTTAAGGCTGAATAATATTCCATCATGTATGTATATTATATACACCGTATTTTCTTTATTTTTTCATTTGTTGATAGACACGTACGTTGTTTCCATACCTTGGCTATTGGGAATAATGCTGCTATAAACATGGGAGTAGAGACATTTCTCTGAGACAATGTTATTTTTTGGGATATATGCCAAGGAGTGGGGTTGCTGGATTATAAGGTATTTCTAGTTGTTGTTGCTGTGGGAGTTCCTGAACGGTCAAACTTGGAACATACTTTTAATGCACATCATTTTCTTTCCCATTGGCTAAACTCAGTGGCTGTTAGACACCACGATCAGCCGGGTTTATAAGGGGCAGCATGAAGTGTCAAGACCATTGGCCCAGGAGTCAGAGCCTCCTGGATTTTAGTATCCTCTCTGCACTCTAACAAGCTATGTGACCTGGGGAAAACGTTATGCTTCTCTGTGACTCACTTTTAAATTAACATGACTTTGAGGGATTCAGCACAAACATTCTGTGATATCTGTAATACATTATTATTTTCGCTTTTAAAGTACGGCTGTTATTATTATTTTTAGCACCAGAGTAATGGACACACATCAGAGAATAAAAGGAGACACAAAGCAAATCTTAAATTTACTGAAGAGAATATTGAGACTAAGGTTCAGAAAGAATCTGTATTAGTTCTATTTTTAAGATTTCTCTGATGAAAGTCCATACTGTTTCCCACAGTGGCTGTACCTGTTTGCATTCCCACTAACCATGTACAAATGTTCCCTTTTCACCACACCCTCACTGGCATGTACCTGTTATATCATCTTTTTGATAATAGACAACATAACAGATATGAAGTGATATTTCATAGTGGTCTTGATTTATGATTCTCTGATGATCAGTGATGTTAGAAATCGTTGGCCCTGTTGTACCTATTTTCTTTGAAGCTTGTCTGTTTAGGTCCTTGGCCCATTTTTTAAATAGTTATTTTTTTTTTTTTTGCTAGAAGGTATATGAGTTCTTAGTATATTTTGGATATTAAGTTTTCATCAAATATGTGATTTACCAATATTTTCTCCTATTCTGTAGGTTGCCTTTTCATGTTGTTTCCTTTGCTGTGTACAAAGGGTTGTCTGCCCTTTAGTTACTGAATTGTGATAGTTTATTATGTACTTATGTCTCTTATCAGATATAATCTGCAATTTTTCCAACTCTTTCAATTGTATTTTTACCTTCTTGATAGGGTCCATTTATGCACCAAATATTTTAATTTTAAAGAGATCAATTTATCAGTTTTTCTTTGTCATATATGTTTTGGGGTCATATCTAAGATTCCACGTTCAAATACAAGACCAAGAAGATTGACCCCTATGCTTTCTTCTGAGTTTTATTGTTTTAGTTCCTACATTTAGGTCTTTTACTCATTTTGAGTTAGTTTTCACATAAAAGGTATGAGGCAGGGGTCCAACTTCATTGTCTTGCATGTGGATATCCAATTGCTCCAGCATCAATTCTTGAAATGACTAGTTCTTGGCATCCATGTTGAAAATCAATTAACCGCAGATGCATAGGCTTATTTCTGCATTCCCAACTCTGTTCCATAGATTTGTATTTTTATCTTTGCCAGTCCCACTTTGTTTTGATTACTGAAGCTTCTTTGTAGTGTGATTGAAAGTTGAGAGGGATGAGGCCTCCAGTTTTGTTCTTTGTCGAGATTGTTTTGAGGTCCCAAGGAACTCCCTATGAGTCTGAGGATTGGCTCTTCTAATTCTGCAAAAAGCAGTTAGATTTTGACAAGGATTACATTATATCTTGATAACAATTGTGGAGTATTGTCATCTTATTAATAATTATTACTGATTCTTAGTATCTTACCAATTAACTCTTTCAATCTATGTACACATGATGTCTTTTTAAAATATGTTTCTATCATGCTTTGAGGACTTCTTTAATGATTAAAACACAATATCCCAGGCTCAGCTTGTATTTTCCCCTAGCATAGTCTCAGAATAGTCTTCATTCACAGATCTCTGCTGCATCTTAGTAGATAATAATATTTGGAAACTAAGATCTGGAAAAATATGCAACATCATTAAAATATACAATTTATATTTTTCTTGTATTGCAAGCTTTGTTTCTTTGTTTTAGAAAACTAAATGTGGATTACTAATTTACTTTTTTTTACCTTTCTTCTTTTAGTTCCTCCAGTGATCCGGGTATATCCAGAGAGTCAGGCTAGAGAGCCCGGGGTGACTGCAAGTTTGAGGTGCCATGCAGAGGGCATACCAAACCCTCAGCTGGGCTGGATGAAGAATGGAATTGATATTACACCAAAGCTGTCCAAACAGCTCACACTTCAAGGTGCTTTTTCATTTGCATTTTTTCTCTTAAATGACTATGAGAAATTTTATACTAAAATTTATATCACATTTTACATCATTTGGTAAAAAAAAAAAAATGAATCTTGCTGTCAACAAAATGTCATGAACATGAAGAAAATGTGGTTGTACCTACATTATCTTTGAAATAGAGTCTTTTAGTATTTTTAATATTTTAAATAATAGTCTTGTCATAATGATTAATTATGTCATTATTATGGTGATAAGTAAAATATTAAATTATATATAATTTAAATACTTGTTCTCTGAATTATAGCAGATATGCTGAACAGAATAATTGGATCTCTTTATAGAATCCAGTTCTAAAGTGACTATTTAAATGTTTAAATCATACATTAAAATATATATTATAGAGTGTGTTGATACAATAGAAATTCTTTATTGAATATTTTGCAGTATAATTTGCAAAGGAATTGAGAAAAAAATCAAAATGTTACTAAATGTTTCACATTTACATTGTTTTAGGTTATTAAATTATTGTATTCTAATATATAAAATATTCTACATATTCTAATATTCTAATGTATAAACATAATTAATCAATTATACAGATTATGGTCACAAACATATGGTAAATGAAAAACAAAAACAGACAATCTTTGAAATGTCAAATAATCAAAAGAATTAAAAGCAGTTATAAATATGTTGATCATACTAACAAGTAAAAAAAAAGGTACAAATCTTATTCATTGGCAAGAGTAGCACACAAGTCATTTTACTTGAGTTTATGTTGCATGACATTCTGTTCTTTATTTCATACTTTTAAATTCCTTCAATTCATACCTTTCTAAATAAATGTTTTTATTTTTAAAATTTTATAACCATAAACTTTTTTTATTCTACTTTAATAGTGAATGTCTTTTATCAGTATTTTAAAATACACTTTTTGAAACATTTACCTATTTATTTTTGCAAGTCAAAAATGACATGTAAAAGTGTTTTTGAACTTTAAAACCTGAGTCCTAGAAATATCTCTATTGATATAAGTAGGCCCAACAAATTTACATGTTTACATCTGCTGATTACACTTTGCTGTCTATAATCTGAGGAGAGGATTGATCTGATTAACAGAAATTAAAGTGAAGAAAGTTCTAATTAGCTTCTGATGTTTGTCATTTCTTGTCCATTTAATAGCAGTAATCCAAAAGATCATATATCTTTATTTCCAGGAATATGTAGAGACCAAAGTTAGAGAGCTGGGCACACTCCAGACTCAACTTTGAGAGTGGGGACACTTGTAAAATACCTACTGTCATTTTAAAAAGAAGGCAATATAGGTAAAGTTTTGAGAATAGACGGCAAATAATAAAAAATTAATAAGGAGCATGATCTAAGAGATAAATCTGGATGTATAGGAGTGTGGAAATTTTGTATGGCTTTATATACAACTACATATTACCGAATACTGTAGTTATTTAATTATTTATTGACTCATTAGATGCTTATTTAGCATTTCTAAGTGAGGTCCAAGTCTAGGCATTAACTGAATAACTGAATAACTGGCAATGGATGGGTTAATATGTTAATCACAGGAAGTAAAATCCTGAGAAAGCAGACATATTTCTTTGCAGGCAAATCAAGATAAATAACACAAGAGACTGAAAATCAGCAAAGTTACAGCAAAATAAGGTGATACTACCTAAGGGGGGAAAAATAAGAAAGCTAAAGATGGTAAAAAGTTTAATAATGTCAGATGCATAGAAAGGTTAAAGAAGGTCATAAAAATGCTTTCATGGGTTAGGTGATTCTTCTGCCCTTGATTTAGAAAAAAATAGTATTAGTAGCAATCATTCTGCAGTAGATTTAAAAATGAAAAGGAGACAAAAAGCATAAAAATCTCTGCCCTGGCCGGTTTGGCTCAGCGGTTAGAGCGTCGGCCTGTGGTCCAGAGAGACCCAGGTTCAGTTCCCACTAAGGGCATGTACCTTGGTTGCAGTTTGTCCCCGGCCCTGGTTGGGTCATGCAGGTGGCAACCACTCAATTTGTCCCTTTCACATGGATGTTTCTCTCTCTCTCTCTCTCTCTCTCTCTCTCTCTCTCTCTCTCTCTCTCCCCCTCCCACTCTATCTAAAAACAAAAAAATGGAAAAATGTCCTTGGGTGAGGATAAAAAAAAAAGCATAAAAATCTCTTTCCATGATTTCAAAGGAGGAAAAAAGAAAAAGTGGTATATATTTTGTTGGATAAGTTAGGACTGATGAAGACATTTCTTTCACTTTGGACAATTTATCACTTTGAAGGACTATCAATAAAGAGAAAGATGTGAAGACAATGGAGGACAGGAAGGATGAACAAAGGGTTGTAGGAATCACCAAGAAAAGAGAGGAGATTTGCCTTGGAAAGAAACAGAGACAAATTATGTTGATAAATAAATAGAGGTGAAGATACAGATGGGAACAAGATGTTTTGGGTTTACTTTCTTTTTTTCAGATTTTTATTGAAATGTAATTGACATATAACGTTGTGTAAGTGTAAGGTGTATCACATGATGATTTGATATATGTTTATATTGAGAAATGATTTATGTTTCCTTTCTTATCACTTCTATCTGCTTCATGATTTAAAGAGCAAGGGTAATCACTCAGAATGAGAAGTCAGTATTATAATGGGAAACATTAAACATAGAGGCAAGATTTGAAATAAAAGTTGAGTAGGACATGAAAGCCACCTAACTATAAAGGTCAAGTAAAATGAATATCAGGTATCATTAAACATGCTGCAAATCGAAAACTGTGACTTTGAAAATGTGTAAGTTTGCTAATGCAAAAGTCTCATAATTTTCTCAAAAACCTAGGTGCAGGGATGCCAGGTACAGAAACATGTCAGTTTGTCCTAGTTCTGGAGATTAGTAAGGCACATATGGGTCAGGATGATAAATGGACAATTTGGGGGCAATAGAGCAGAAGACATCTGAAAGGGCTAGATTATGTAGGGAAGGAGGAAAAGACAGTGAGGCATAGGGGTTAGGAGCACATACAAGTACATTGGGAAGAGAGAAATTGAAGATGGAATATGTTGACTTGGTGTTTCAAAAACTCTAGAGTTTAGGTTAAGTGTATAGGTCTTGAGAGAAAAGGAGACATAAAACAAGAAACTGGCTCGGCCGTTGTGGCTCAGTGGTTGAGTGTCAACCCATGCACCAGGAGGTCGCTGGTTTGATTCCCAGTCAGGGCACATGCCCAGGTTGTGGGCCAGATTCCCAGTGGGGGGTGTGCAGGAGGCGGCCAGTTGATGTTCTCTCTCATCAGTGTTTCTATCTCTCTCTCCCTCTCCCTTCCTCTCTCTCTCAAATCAGTAAAGAAAATAAGTATTAAAAAAAATAAACAAAAAAAAAACCAAGAAACCGATGCAGGATAAATACACCGCTCGCTCCTTACCTTTGAGAGCAGGGGGCTGAGAACCAAGGCCCACAGGCCAAATCTGGAAAGCTGCCTATGTTTGTACATAAAGCAATGTTTTGATTGTTTATTTGTTTTTGTTTTTTTGGTACGTGCCCCCAGTGGAAACCGAACCCGGGACTCCCTGGTCCGCAGGCTGACGTGCCAACCGCTGAGCCAAACCGGCCAGGGCTATTTGTTTTTGTTTTCAGAAAGTAACCATGTTTATCTTTAAAAATATTATCTATGGCTGCTTTCATGCTACTACAGCAGAGGCGGACAGTTGCCACAGAGACTGCACGGCGCACGAAGCCTAAAATATTTACTCTCTGGCCTTTCACAGTGAAAGCGAAGGCAGTGCTGCCAACCTATGTTTGGAGAAGTGATTCTCAGCAAAGAATCGGGTAATGGAGGGGTGCAGTGAGGTTTATAAATTGAGAAAGAGGTTCAGGTGATTCAAATGATTGTCTCTCCTCGAACATTCGCTGCCTCTCCACGTCCCATTCACAGCCCTAGGGAGGGCATTCAAGATCTTCCCCAGTGATTTTCCACCTTCTTTCCCCAAACAGCCACAACGGTTATTTTGTGCCCTGTCACAAATAGTGATGTTCCTTTCTGCCGCCCATGGTGCACAGTGTTCTTGAGATTGAATAACATGGAACACCCACACATAAACACACATGAAGATGCACAGAAAGAAAGAAAAGAAACCTAAACAAATAAGCACAACCAACACTGAGCTTTTATTATTTTTAAAAACATTTTTTTTTCCTTTATTGATTTTACAGAGAGAGGAAAGGAGAGGGAGAGAGATATAGAAACATTGATGAGAGAGAACATCAATTGGCCGTCTCCTGCATGCCCCACACTGGGGATGGGGCCCACAATCTGGCCATGTGCCCTGACCAGGAATCGAATGGATGACCGCTTGGTACATGGGTTGATGCTTAACCACTGAGCCACACTGGTCGGACCAAACACTGAACTTTTAGAGTCAGATAGAGCAGAAGTTCAGCTTTTCCCTTTGAGCTGAGTGACTTAAATAAGATCATTCTGAGTCTCAGATTCTTCATCTAAAAATTAAATATTATCTGAGATAATTAAGAAATAATATGTGAAAAGGACCTTGTATATTGCCAACACAGATTAAAAGGTTTCCACACTGGAGAATGCAACTTATTATTTAGGGATTAGTTTAAAATATCATTTTCCAAGATATCAAAGCTGGACTAATAATTTCCTTTACCCTTTGGTTACACATTGACTTTATCAATTTCCATATTACAATATTGTTTACTTTAGGTATATTTATGGGAAAAGACTAAAATTTTTGCAGAGAAATCATTTGTTATTACCTTTATGTTCTTCTTACCTAATTATTCCAGATATATAATATGGACTTAATTATAATCATATAATTAAGTATCAATTATATTATGCTTGCATGTTATAGCTCCATTAATTTCTTTATAAAAAGATGTTTTATATGTATCCTTCTAAATTAACTATCTAGTTATTATTTAAAATTGTTGTGAAAGCTTAGGGCAAAGCAGATTCTGAATATTAAAAATAAATATATAATGAAATTATAGCTGTCAATGTGAAACGCTCCTTCTGCAATGTAGGAAATGGGAAAGGAATATAAAATATAGAGTGTGTGCATTTGATATTGAGCATTGGGCTCTCTGCAATAGAATGACAGCACCATTTATGACACACTTGAATGCTTTTGGAATAATTTGGCATGCTTCCAAAACATGGAAGTAAGAAGGAAAATAGTTTAATTAGGGCAAGCTAAGAGAATTGTTTGACTGTGTAATCAGAAAACACTGTACCAAAATTGAAACCGAAGTTTACACGTTGCATCTCCCTTCTGCTTTCAGCAAATGGCAGTGAGGTGCATATAAGCAATGTGCGCTATGAGGACACCGGAGCATACACCTGCATTGCAAAGAACGAAGCAGGAGTGGATGAGGACATCTCTTCTCTTTTTGTGGAAGATTCTGCTAGAAAGACCCGTATGTACTGAACACACACACACACACACACACACACACACACACACACACACACACTGTATACTGTACTCAACTTTGCAATCAAGCTTTTATCAAAAAGCAAAAAACCCAGAAAACTGTGAGGTGAATAATGCATCAAAAGAAATTTTATATGTAGGAAAGATAGGGATCTTAAAGTATTAAAAGTAGATTCAAGAATAAAAAACAAGCTTGTGGAATTTTTAACACAACGCTGAAAGGATTCTGTTTCTTTTGCAAGTGTACTAAGATGTTTCAGGTCTTGTCTTCCCGCTTGCTCATAAAGGAATCGAAATCCCTTGCAACGCCCCTCTCCCAAATGACTTAGCAAATGTAAGGTCTCGAAATATAGCCAAGGCACACCCTGTAGGTTTCATAAACTAATACCTTTCTTTCTTGGTCAGTTGCGCGCAGTCAGGGGCACAATAGCTGTGGAGCAGCTCTGCGCTGTGTGGCCCTGGGGTCCCTGCCACCAGGAGACAGGCATTGCCTGGCACCATCTCGACTGCAGAGCTGTTCTTCATTTAGTGCTAAAACTCTTTGTCATCACTCTGTGTGTCTTCTGGTTGAATCATGAAGTCATGAGATAAACGACTGTCCTTTATTTATTTGTATTATTACTTGGATAAGAGGAAAATGGATGGAGTTGGGATGCTAAAGATAGACTTTTGGTTACAATCGCATTGCTCAGAACTTGAAGTACCATAATAGCCACGTATCAGGTGTGCTCTCTATAGGGAAACCCACAGACACTGTCTTCTCCTGTCCACACATGCCACAGTAGGGCCATTTGGAAACTGGGCTTGGACTGACATTGGACCCTTGAAAAACATGGGGGTTAGGGCCGCTGACCCCCTGCATAATTGAAAATCTGCATATAATGTTTACATCCTCCCAAACTTAGCTACTAAAATAAACAGTAAATTTACACAGTTATGTATAATGTATTATATACTGTATTCTTACAGTAAAGTAAGCCAGAGAAAATAAAATGTTAAGAAAGTCATAAAGAAGTGACAATACTTTTACAGTATTGACTGAAAAAAATCTACCTATAAGTTGACCCTGTGGTTTAAACCTGTGTTTTTCAAGGATCAACTGTCCTTGGAATAACTTCTTGCTCTGCTGTCTGATTTGCTATACCCATTGTATCTCCTGTTAATCTCAGCGTGATCAGGGAGGGCCCTGATATTTTGAAAGCCCTGTAGACTGGCATGCCCATTTCTCCAAACCCCGTTTTTGAACAATGCAATAGCATTGTCCCAGGAATCTTCTTATTTGTTTTTAAATCAATGAAAACATATAGATAAAAGTAGATCAAATGAAGAAGAAGGGTCTTATCTTTGTGACTACCAAATTACCTTTTTATAAATTTGGTCTGCGTTGGACAACCATCATTATAAGCAATTGTTTCAAAAGAAAATTTTGGGGTGGAAAAAGAAAAGTAGAAAGCTAGATTATGACTTGAATAAATTTCACCATATGTTTTTACTATACTTTTATGCATTTTTGCTAGATATCAATTTTCAATTTAATTCCTGTTAACAATTAATTTTAGGGTGACAAGTAATTGAAAACTTTAGTTTTCTTTGTCCATATGATGACATTTGGTTATGAGACAGATACTAATTTCAACTCTGAATCCTGATTTTCTTTTAACGTCAGTCATATTTTTCAATATATTTCCATATTTAGAATATTAAAAACCTTACCTTAGTTCCTTTAACTAATCAGTCATTATGTACTAGCATGTAAATTTGAGGAAAATTACAAAGGAAGATTTAATATAATTTTATTTATATATTTAGTCATATGAATTTGTTTATTTATAAACAGTTTCTGAAATTGTTTTCACTGTATTTTACTTATCACTTTAAACTCTTAGAGGTCAAATAACACATTTTAAGTTAATTTTGCAGATTATATATTAGTAGCATGCTGTTAAAATCAGAATTAACATTTTATAAGATATAGTGATGCAGGCCTTATGACATCTATACAAAACTTTCAAAGTCATCTTATAAGAAACAATACAGGTAAAAAATATGGAGAGATTTTGTCCTAAGTCTAGACATAAAATATATATATAGGTGTTACTTCTGTATTTAAATTATGTGACATTTTCAAGGATAAAGAGTGAAAACCAATGAATTTTGTATTTTTAAATTAATTAATTAATTAATTTTGGTAAAAATACAACATAAGCTCTACCCTCTAAACAGCTGCCAAGTGCACAGAACTGTATTGTTAACTGTAGGCACTAAGTTGTACAGCAGATCTCCAGAACTTGTTCATCGTGTATAACTCACTCTATACTCATTCAGCAACTCTCCATTTCTTTCTTCTCCCCAACCCCTGACAACCACCATTCTACTTTCTGTTTCTGTGAGTTTTGCTCTTTTAGATACCTCATATAAGTACAATTATACAGTATTCGTCCTTCTGTGACTGGATTGTTCCAATTAGCATAATGTCTGCCAGATCCATTCATGTTATCACAAATGGTAGAATTTCCTACTTTCTAAGGCTGAATAACATTCTATTATATGTGTACGCAACATTTTGTCTGTCCATTCATTTCTTGATGGATATCTGAGTTGTTTCCATATCTTGGCTATTGTGAATGTTGCTGCAAGAATGTGTAAATGCAGGTATCTCTTTGATCCTTAATTCAATATTTTGGATACATACCTAGAAGTAGGATTGCTGGAACATGTGACAGTTTCAGTTTTAATTTTTTAGAAACCTTCATAATGTTCTCTAGCAGTTGCACCATTTTACTTTCTCACCAACAGAGTGCAAAGTTCCAATTTCTCTACAACCAGGCCATGACTTTTATCTTTTGTTATTTTGATAATAACCATCCTAACAGGTATAAGATAATATCTCATTGATTTTTATTTGCATCTCTGATGATTACTGATATAGAACATGTTTTCATATACCTGTTGGTCATTTGTATGTCTTCCATGGAGTAATGTCTATTCAAGTTTAGTCCAAGAGATAGTTAAAAAAAAAGCATTCCCACCTACAATAACATCAAACAAATAAAATACATGGAAATAAGCTTAACCAAGGAGGTAAAAGACTAGCACAATAAAAAAAAAAAAACTATAATATATCAATAAATTGAAGACATAAAAAAAATGGAAAGACATTCCATGTTCAGGGGTTAGAAAACCTAATATTGTTAAAATGCCCATACTATCAAAAGCCATCTATGGTTCAATACTATTTCCATCAAAATCTCAGTGACATATTTTTACAGAAATTTAAAAAAAAGTCCTAAAATTCATATGAAAAAATAAGATATCCAAAGTGATCTTGAGAAAGAAGAACAAAGGTAGAAGCAACACACTTCCTGATTTTTAAATATATTCAAAAGCTATAGCAATTAAAACAGTATGGTACTGGCACAAGCACAGAAGTATGGACCAATGGAATAGAATAGAAAGCCCAGAAATCATTCCACAAATACACAGGCAAGTGATCCTTGATAAGGGTACCAGTATACATATTGGAGAAAAGACTCTTTAAGAAATGGTGCTGGCAAACTGAATATTAGCATGTAAAAACATGAAATTAGATCCCTGTCTTACATCATACATAAAAAATAACATAATAGCTGAATCTATAAAACTCTCAGAAAAAAAGCTTTATGACATTGATCTTGACAATGAAATTAACAAATTTTATTTGTAACTCAAAAGTCTTAAACATTGCAAATTTTTGTTTATATTATACCTTTTTATAGGCATGCAAATACAGTTTCTTTAAAATAACAAATTCACCTTTCATTTAAATACAGACCTTTTATTTCTAAATTTTTTGTTAATCCTTACCTGAGGATATTTTTCCATGGATTTTTTTTTTTTCTTTTTGATAGAATGGGATGAAGGGAGGGAGGGAGAGAGAGACAGAGAGACATGGGTGAGAGAGACACATTGATTGGTTGCCTCCTGCACAACCCCAACTGGGGCCGTATCTCAAACCTGCAACCCAGACATCTGTCCCCCACAGGGAATCTAACCTGTGATCCTTCATTCCACAGTCTGATGCTCCAGCTCCTGAACCAAACTGTCCAGGGCAAGGCCTTTAATTTTAAAATTTTTTCCACAACCTTGATACAATGGTAACTACATATATATATATGTAGTTATTGCTCTGAAAGTGCCAATTTTTGAAATTTATGCACATAATTAGAATGAGGATTATAATAAATAATGAATCCAACTGAATAGAATATTAGTAGCTACAGAAGAGAAAAATCTGAAAATGTAAGAATATCTATGCTGTAGAAGACAGTGTCCCTTGAGATGCTTCCTAGTTCTAGGTAAGCCGTCAGAGTTCTGTATAGCAAAGACAAAACCCAAATCATGTGGAGGTGATATTAGGTTAAACTATGGCCTTTTAAAACTCTTAAGAATTGCTCTGGGTTCTCATCTAGTATTTCCATGGACAAGGATCAATATTATTTATATAGGTCACATATGTATTTTGACAGATAGTTATTTTCAAAAAAACAAAAACAAAAGAAACAGTCACAGATCCACCAGGGATGACTTTACTCTCTTATTTGTACATATTAAAATATTATTGACCTGTCCATGTTCATAAAAAATATTCTCAGAGCTCTTTTTTCATTTTAATAGCAATGGATACAATGTATATCTAAAAAAGCTGAGTGGTATAATAGAAAGCATGAATTTAGGAGTAAGACCTGAGTCAGAATAATTGTTTTACCACATAATAGTCCTATGTTTTAAGGCTATTACAGAACCTCTCTGAGTTTTAATTTCCTTATCTGTAATATGGAATAAATTTTAACTCACTAAGGGATTTCTGTGCAGATATTATAAAGCACTCATTGTAGTGTGAGACCTAAAGTAACTCTTCCTCTATTCATTCTTATTTTCTGAAAATAATTACTTATTTCTTGCTAGAAACATTCACAAGAATAATTTTTAAAATGCCTGGAGAAT